TTTAGATACACATCAATAGTACCCTTCTCAGGATATAACACAAGGATCTGAAACCGATACAAATCACAGAATATGGTGTAGAATGTAAAAATTCTTAAAACCACACAGATAATTAAAAATATCTCACTCACATACTCCTGAGTCAATTTTAGTTGACTCAGACTTTGAAGGCTTTAACCCCTTACTGACAAGACCATTTTTCAATTTTCTTACCGTTAAGGACCAGGGCTCTTTTTACATTTCTGCGGTGTTTGTGTTTAGCTGTCATTTTCCTCTTACTCATTTACTGTACCCACACATATCGTACACCGTTTTTCTCGCCATTAAATGGTCTTTCTAAAGATAGCATTATTTTCATCATATCATATAATTTACTGTTAAAAAATTATAAAATATGATGAAAAAAATAAAAAAAAACTTTTTCAAAGTTTTAACCCCCAAAATCTGTTACGCATCTACAACCACCAAAGAACACCCATGCTAAATAGTTTCTAAATTTTGTCCTGAGTTTAGAAATGCTCAATGTTAACATGTTCTTAGCTATTTTCGGAAAGTTATAAGGCTATAAGTTCAAGTAGCACGTTGCTATTTCCAAACCATTTTTTTTTTTAATTAACAAAGTCACATTGTAATACTGATATTTGTCACGAATCACTGAATAACCCTTCACATGTATATATTTTTTAAAAGAAGACAACCTAAGGTATTAAAGCCAAAGAACACCCCAGTATGTGTTCAGCAATATCTCCAGAGTACAGTGATACCACCCATGTATAGATGTGTTGGGTTGTCTGGGGGCTAAAAACCTTATTTGGAGGGTGCGCATTTCAGTTTTCTAACTTGGAATTTTCTCAGCTGGTCATCATGTCCTATTTGGGACATTTTTGAAGCCAGCCAAAAATAATTTACCCCCATCAAACCATATATTTTTGAAAAGTAGACACCCTAGGGTATTTCAAATGGTGGTATTTTAACACTTTCCATGCACTGATTCTACCACCAGGCTTTTTCAAACTAATGGGTAGTCATTTTTGTGTGTTATTTTTCTCTCACATTGTAATTTAGGCATGGATTCTCAGTTCCTGTTATGTGTTACTGACAAAGAACACCTTTGCACATTCCAGTTTTCCAACTTCAGCAACATCTCCCGAGTACAACAGTGCCCCCAATGTACAGGTTCTATGGGTTTTTGCAAACTTACAGGGGTCAAATGTAGGGCTTTCCCCTTTTCCATGTTGGCACATTGAAATTTGCCAGATTGGCTTGCTGGGCCTATGTTGCCTTTGAGACCGTATAGCAACCAAGGAATGAAAATTAACCCCATCATGGCATACCATTTGTAAAAGTAGACAATCCACGGTATTCAAAATGGGTTATGTCTAGTCTTTTGTAGTAGCCACAAACGCTTGCCAAAGTTAGTGTTCATATTTGTTTTTTGCATTTTTTTTTACACAAAAACTGCACTTTTACTGGTGATTTCATCATTGTGATAGGTTTTACTGTTTTAAACACTCATATTTGTGTTTCGCAAAGTCTCCCAAGTATAACAATACCCCCCCATGTACAGGTTTTATGGTGTTTTGAAAAGGTACAGGCTCAATATAGGGCTTGCCCATTTCAGTTTGCCAGATTGGTTTGCTGGGTCTGTGTTACCTTTTGAGACCATATGGTAGCCCAGGAATGTGAAATAACCCCATCATGGCATACCATACTGTTATGGGCAAATATTACAAGTTTTAGAATGAAATGTTATATTTCTTAAACTGTGTACGTTGTCTTTAAGAGATATTGCAAACTGACAAGGTGTTAGAAATGGAACATATTGTTTTTCTTAACTGTGTCTTTAAGCAATAACCTCAGTGCATGATATGTTTGTGCCATTTTGACCCAGACGAATTACAATAACAATAATGCATAAACAAGCTTCAAGGCTATCCTACGACTCTTTCAGTACGTGATATACTGTAGTAACCTTAGTAGATAAGGATGTTCAGACTTTAAGATGCCATCTTGAACTAAGTCAGGTATGCACCCTTTAGTAATTTCCTTGTATGTTTGCTAAGTTAAGGGAGGTCCTAAAATGAATAAAGTAAAAGAAGTGTTACTTTTTCATATATGAACTACGGTAACCCTAAAATGGAGGCATATAAATATAAATGGAGATATAAATAGGTGTACTTTTAAATGTTGAGACACAGAGGAGAGACTTGGAGACAGACGCTGCTCCATCTTAAAATGGCAGAGAGGCTGACATGATGACATGTTCAGAAGGGTATGTAAACCTATTAATGATATTTGCAAGCATTTAATTTAATCTTATAAACTCTGCTATAACGGATTTTATATTTATATTTATATTTTTATATAATAAATATCTAAAAGACAAAACTATTGCTTCCAAGACAATCCATATTTTATATTGTATTCTCAATTATTTATATATTTTAAATAGAGGATCTCTTACACTAACTATATAAAATTATGGCTAAGATATCTGTATGGTTAGCCCTACCTAGTTCTATTCTTTAAGACATTATAGTGGTAAATAAGGGAACCACCTGTGGTTACAATACCATAGATAAACCAGGGTAATTCAAATGGGGTATTTCCAGTCTTTTGTAGTAGCCACTTAGTCACAAACGCTGGCCAAAGTTAGCATTTTTATTTGTTTTTTTTTCCAATTTATATTAAATATATATATATATATATATATATATAGGATATAAAAAATAGAATATTCCTTGCACTCACGCTTAAGTAGATCAATTTGCCTTATTAGGCTTGCCGGGTGCCAGTCTTTAGGGTCCTTCAATGTAGTATACAAAACAAAGCAGGCTGCACTCACGGACTTTCAAACTTCAAGTGTAATTTTATTTCATCCAAGAAACAAAAACGATCAACGTTTCGGCCCACGCAGGGGCCTTCATCAGGATCAAACAGTACCAAACTGTTTGATCCTGATGAAGGCCCCTGCGTGGGCCGAAACGTTGATCGTTTTTGTTTCTTGGATGGAATAAAATTACACTTGAAGTTTGAAAGTCCGTGAGTGCAGCCTGCTTTGTTTTGTATACTATATATATATATATATATAAACAAAGCAAAAAATGAGAGCACTCCATGGATTTGGTAAATCAAATTACTGTATTCAAATAGCACAAAAAAAATCGACGTTTCGACCGTCTAGCGGTCTTTATCAAGATGCTGTCATATACAAAAACCTCAAATATATACATAAACGCTTGTTAAACTTACCCAATCACCAAGTGCTCCCTGTGTGTCCAATCTGCCATATGAGTGAAGCCGCAAATTGTGGATCGTTATGTTAATTGTCGTAAAGTGACGTGTGGTGAAATCACCATGTGTTGCCTAGAGAAGGCACAGCTGTTTAAAAACCAAATGTCGGCAGAGATTTAAAATCAATACGGAGGATAAATAAAATTATATGTTGCATATGTGTTTTCATAAATGTCTAAGCAACTGCCTAACTGATCGTAGGATACTAGAGTGAGCCAGGAATGGCTAGAAACGATTGCTCATATAGGGACTCAGTTAGAAAGACTGGTGTATTGGTAACTGTGGACCTGTGTAGCCTAATAGAGCTAACTCAAATACTACCTAACTCCTTATTCAATTGGGAACCCTAGCTGGGAAAGCCATGTGTGTTGCCAAATCACAAACCTAAACAATAAGAACAGGCATCAATTACAGAAAACAGGCTGGCTTAGCATCATGTGAGTTGTCAGTATATAACAGAGAGTGTGTGTGATGTTGACCCTTTATCTACTGGGGTCCATATATAGTGTAGAGTGATCAGCATGTGTGTGATGAAATAAATAAACACAGGGAATATTAAATGGTGAGTGACAAATCAGTATGTGTGAATTCCAAACTAGTAAAAAATAAAGCAAGAATGGGAAAATCCTGTACTAAATCAATCTACGGTATGTATGTGAGACACTGTAGAAAAAAGTGTGTGTGTGCTACTAAGATCATTCTCCGGTGTGTGTGTGAAATGATGTAGTAAAAAATGTGAGTATACTGCCTGACCTCTAGAAGTGAGACAATCAATGAAAAGTGAGAAAGACTGTGCAGCTGAAACATGCACTAAAAGTGTAATGAGCCCTCGTGAATAATGAGAATGCACTGTCAGAAAGGTAAGAATGCAATAAAAAAATGTAAATAAATAAATAAATAAATACATAAAATGAAATAAAAAATATATACAAAATACAATAAAATAAAAATAAATATCAAAATAAATAAAAAATAAAAAATATAATAAAAATAAAAATAGAAATAAAAATAAAAATAACAAAAAATAAAAAATAAAAATAGTAAAAATAAACAATAAAGAGAAAATAAACAATAAAAAATGTAACAGTGATCCTACTAACTATATGCCAGTGCAGCCTCCAAGATCGGCATGCTAGGAAATGGAAAAGAGAAAAATTTGGTAAAAGGAGAGAGGGTCCTATTATAAGAACCTTATGTCACTGGGTATTTATCAAAAAGCCAAAAGTGCCTAGATGTATGTACTATCCCCAATCACCAATTGGAAGTCCACAACCCTTTCTTGCAGCTCTGTATTGTAACTCCCACCGGCAGGAAATCAGATGGAAATAATTCACAATGTCCTCTTTATTATGGGATGGTCATTAAATCCTGAGTCAAAATCTCGCATCCAAGTCATTTACTGCTCAGCGATATCAACGGATATCCAAAAAACAACTAAATGAGTTGTATTCGTTTAATCCTTTCGGTTGGATCGTATCCAGATGTGTGATCCAAAAGGTTTCCCTTTGTAAAAGTAACTTTGATCTGTCGCCTCCTCTTGTGAGCGGTGGGATGTGGTCTATCATAATGAACTTAAGCGTGGGTAAATGGTGTTGGAAATCTAGGAAGTGTTTTGCCACAGGTTTATCAGTCTTCCCATCCCGGTACGCCGTCATGATTCCTGATCTGTGACCACGAATACGGTCCCTTACTGTAAGGTCTGTTTTACCCACATAATATTTCCCACATGGGCATGAAATGAGGTATACTACATGGTCACTCATGCAGGTTAGTCGATGTTTGATCTGGATTCTTTTGCCTGTGTGGGGATGTGCAAAGGAAGAGCCTGTCAGCATGTGTCCACAGGTGACGCAACCTGAACACTTGAAACAGCCTTTCTTGGTATGCAATGTTCGTGTATTATATTGGCTCGGTATATCTGTTTTTACTAAAATGTCCTTCAAGTTTCTGTTGCGTGAATATGCGACCCTTGGTTTCTGTAAAAAAAAAACGGATTAAGTGTTCTGTCGCTGGATAAGATGTCCCATCTCCCTTTAATCCTGTGGGAAAATCTCTGGCTCTCCGTGTGGTATGATAAAGGGATCGTAATTCTGGGCAGATTTTGAAGTTGTTTAGTAGATATGCCCCTGTATATATTTTCTGCTTTTATTTGACATTCTTGGAGCACTTTATATGTGTATCCTCGTTCCACAAAGGATCTGGTCATGTCCTATAGTTGAGTTTTACATGTGCTTTCCTCCGAGTTATTCCTGTACACTCTTAAGTATTGCGAAATAGGTAAAGACTCCTTTAGGGCTTTGGGATGAGCGCTGTTGGCGTGTAACAGCGTGTTGCGGTCTGAGGGTTTTCTAAATAATCGATGTCCAATGTTTCGATCCTTCCGGAATATCTCCACATCCAAGAATTGGATTTTATCTGGGCTGTACGTCAAAGTAAATTTAATGGTGGAGTTTAAATTGTTCAGTTCTTCAATCATCTTCTCCAATTCTGTTGCCGTGCCTTGCCATAAAATAAAGATGTCGTCCACAAACCTGTGATACTGTATCAAATGTTCCTTATATGTGGACAGAATGTGTCTGCTCTCATATGCATACATAAAACTATTCGCATATGTTGGAGCTATTGCCGATCCCATCGCAGTTCCCATCTCTTGAATGTAGAAATTCTTTTCAAAACGAAAATAATTGTTTGTCAATGTAAGTAGTAATCCTTCTAACAAAAATTCAATGGGGGGACCTTCATAGACATCTGATTGTAATAGCAGTGTTCGCATCGCATCCATCCCCATATTGTGAGGAATCACCGTGTACAAATTTTTTACATCTGCCGTGGCGAAGATGTACTGTGTGTCGTTTAATTCACAGCTGGTGATTTTATTAAGGAAGTCTTGGGTATCCCTTAGGCATGTGGATAATCTGGAGACTGTGGACTTACAATAAAAATCCACGTATTTAGCTATGGGTTCCAGTAAACCTCCTCGAGCGGATACAATTGGTCTCCCAGGTGGTTTCTTTGCGTCCTTGTGTATCTTAGGGAGTGTGTAAAGGATCGGAATTTTCGGATGTGTATTGAGCAAATATTCCGCTGTGCTGTGATCCAGCCAATTTGCTGCTGTTCCCAATGTTATCCACTCCTGTATTTTGGTGCTGATCTTGCTCGTGGGGTCAGAAGTTAGCTTTCTGTATGTCTGGGTATCAGATAATTGGGTTAAAATTTCTTCCCTGTAGTCCGTATAGTCCTGTAGGACTATTGCTCCCCCTTTATCTGCTGCTCGAATCACAAGTTGATCATCCCTGCTCAAATCTCTGAGAGCAGTTCTTTCTGCCTGGGTTAAATTATCCGGTTTCTTCTGTTGTTGTGCAAGAATGATGTCCATGTCAGTTTTCAAAATAGTGGAGAAGGTTTTGATGGCATGATGTGTGTATTTAGGTTCCCAAACGCTTTTGAGTTTGAATGATGAGGATGGTCTTACTGTCATGGTATCACGAGTAGCTTGCATATTTAAAATTCTGTTCATTTTGAACAATTCAACCCCGGTTTTAAATGCGTCTGGTTTGGCCGTCGGAACGAATGTAAGTCCTTTGGATAGTACTTGATTGTGGGCATTGGTCAGCGTCTTGGAAGATAGGTTGAAGACTGGATTTATGTCCTTCTGGTTGGTGGTTTGGATCTGGTATTTATAGATCTTGTTCCTCTGTCCTCTTCTGATAAATCTGCGTCTTTTGAACCTCTCCTTGTGCGTTGATATTTGCCAGGGGGATCGTTTGTGTGTCGTTCCGCCCCTAAAAAAGTTGATGATTGGGTTTGTTGTGTATCTCTGATGAGCCCTCCTTGGCTTGAGGTAGCTCTGGTGTCTGTTTCCGAAGTGGAGTCTGCTGAGCTCGTGTCAATGGATAAGAATTGAGGCTTGCGTGTTCGTTGTCTGTTACGTTGGAATGGTAGTCTACGTCTTTCTCCACTAATCCAATGGTATACCTGATGGTGGGTATAGTCGAAATTCACTTTTTCCACTTTTTCCACTTTTTGTTTTTTGAATCTTATGAGATCATTTCTATATCGCATGATTTCGTCCTGTAATTTCACCATATATTGGGTGGATGTGGTTGCGTTTAACGTTGTAACATGCGACATTTCAAACTTGTTAATAGACTCCTTGGTAAAAACTAATTCGTTTTTTACCTCCTCTACCACTATAATCATCCAGTCAAGCGAGCATTTATTGGCTATGCCAATCCATTTTTTACAAAACTCCGGATTTTGTCTCCCAATAGTGGGAGAGTTTCTTACCCTGAAACCTCTTGGAATCCGTTTTGCTCGGTAATAATCTGAGATAAAAATTCCATGCAGATCTAAGTCTACTTCTCGTCTTTTTAACTTCATAAGATCATTGTACAGATCCTTAATGGAATCCGTGTGGGTAAGATCCGCGGTGGTGTTAGGCCAAAGTATGCTTTCAGCTTCTTGCGCTGTAATTTGAATGGTCTCAGCTGTGTCAGCTAGGGCTCCAGCCCTCAACAAAAAATCCTCCATATTAATACTTGATAGCTAGGTCACACTCCAAAGGTGTAAATTTAACAAAAGATATTTTTCAGCTGGAGGTGCTCAGAAAGTGTGGCACAACACACTCAATATCTAGAAACTATACAATTTCTGGCACTCTTCCCAAATAATAATACATACCAGGTGCTTCTCTGTGCAAAATACTATAAACAAAGCAAAAAATGAGAGCACTCCATGGATTTGGTAAATCAAATTACTGTATTCAAATAGCACAAAAAAAATCGACGTTTCGACCGTCTAGCGGTCTTTATCAAGATGCTGTCATATACAAAAACCTCAAATATATACATAAACGCTTGTTAAACTTACCCAATCACCAAGTGCTCCCTGTGTGTCCAATCTGCCATATGAGTGAAGCCGCAAATTGTGGATCGTTATGTTAATTGCCGTAAAGTGACGTGTGGTGAAATCACCATGTGTTGCCTAGAGAAGGCACAGCTGTTTAAAAACCAAATGTCGGCAGAGATTTAAAATCAATACGGAGGATAAATAAAATTATATGTTGCATATGTGTTTTCATAAATGTCTAAGCAACTGCCTAACTGATCGTAGGATACTAGAGTGAGCCAGGAATGGCTAGAAACGATTGCTCATATAGGGACTCAGTTAGAAAGACTGGTGTATTGGTAACTGTGGACCTGTGTAGCCTAATAGAGCTAACTCAAATACTACCTAACTCCTTATTCAATTGGGAACCCTAGCTGGGAAAGCCATGTGTGTTGCCAAATCACAAACCTAAACAATAAGAACAGGCATCAATTACAGAAAACAGGCTGGCTTAGCATCATGTGAGTTGTCAGTATATAACAGAGAGTGTGTGTGATGTTGACCCTTTATCTACTGGGGTCCATATATAGTGTAGAGTGATCAGCATGTGTGTGATGAAATAAATAAATCACCAGCTGTGAATTAAACGACACACAGTACATCTTCGCCACGGCAGATGTAAAAAATTTGTACACGGTGATTCCTCACAATATGGGGATGGATGCGATGCGAACACTGCTATTACAATTTTTACATTCAAGAGATGGGAACTGCGATGGGATCGGCAATAGCTCCAACATATGCGAATAGTTTTATGTATGCATATGAGAGCAGACACATTCTGTCCACATATAAGGAACATTTGATACAGTATCACAGGTTTGTGGACGACATCTTTATTTTATGGCAAGGCACGGCAACAGAATTGGAGAAGATGATTGAAGAACTGAACAATTTAAACTCCACCATTAAATTTACTTTGACGTACAGCCCAGATAAAATCCAATTCTTGGATGTGGAGATATTCCGGAAGGATCGAAACATTGGACATCGATTATTTAGAAAACCCTCAGACCGCAACACGCTGCTACACGCCAACAGCGCTCATCCCAAAGCCCTAAAGGAGTCTTTACCTATTTCGCAATACTTAAGAGTGTACAGGAATAACTCGGAGGAAAGCACATGTAAAACTCAACTAGAGGACATGACCAGATCCTTTGTGGAACGAGGATACACATATAAAGAGCTCCAAGAATGTCAAATAAAAGCAGAAAATATATACAGGGGCATATCTACTAAACAACTTCAAAATCTGCCCAGAATTACGATCCCTTTATCATACCACACGGAGAGCCAGAGATTTTCCCACAGGATTAAAGGGAGATGGGACATCTTATCCAGCGACAGAACACTTAATCCGGTTTTTTTACAGAAACCAAGGGTCGCATATTCACGCAACAGAAACTTGAAGGACATTTTAGTAAAAACAGATATAATGAGCCAATATAATACACGAACATTGCATACCAAGAAAGGCTGTTTCAAGTGTTCAGGTTGCGTCACCTGTGGACACATGCTGACAGGCTCTTCCTTTGCACATCCCCACACAGGCAAAAGAATCCAGATCAAACATCGACTAACCTGCATGAGTGACCATGTAGTATACCTCATTTCATGCCCATGTGGGAAATATTATGTGGGTAAAACAGACCTTACAGTAAGGGACCGTATTCGTGGTCACAGATCAGGAATCATGACGGCGTACCGGGATGGGAAGACTGATAAACCTGTGGCAAAACACTTCCTAGATTTCCAACACCATTTACCCACGCTTAAGTTCATTATGATAGACCACATCCCACCGCTCACAAGAGGAGGCGACAGATCAAAGTTACTTTTACAAAGGGAAACCTTTTGGATCACACATCTGGATACGGTCCAACCGAAAGGATTAAACGAATACAACTCATTTAGTTGTTTTTTGGATATCCGTTGATATCGCTGAGCAGTAAATGACTTGGATGCGAGATTTTGACTCAGGATTTAATGACCATCCCATAATAAAGAGGACATTGTGAATTATTTCCATCTGATTTCCTGCCGGTGGGAGTTACAATACAGAGCTGCAAGAAAGGGTTGTGGACTTCCAATTGGTGATTGGGGATAGTACATACATCTAGGCACTTTTGGCTTTTTGATAAATACCCAGTGACATAAGGTTCTTATAATAGGACCCTCTCTCCTTTTACCTAATTTTTCTCTTTTCCATTTCCTAGCATGCCGATCTTGGAGGCTGCACTGGCATATAGTTAGTAGGATCACTGTTACATTTTTTATTGTTTATTTTCTCTTTATTGTTTATTTTTACTATTTTTATTTTTTATTTTTTGTTATTTTTATTTTTATTTCTATTTTTATTTTTATTATATTTTTTATTTTTTATTTATTTTGATATTTATTTTTATTTTATTGTATTTTGTATATATTTTTTATTTCATTTTATGTATTTATTTATTTATTTATTTACATTTTTTTATTGCATTCTTACCTTTCTGACAGTGCATTCTCATTATTCACGAGGGCTCATTACACTTTTAGTGCATGTTTCAGCTGCACAGTCTTTCTCACTTTTCATTGATTGTCTCACTTCTAGAGGTCAGGCAGTATACTCACATTTTTTACTACATCATTTCACACACACACCGGAGAATGATCTTAGTAGCACACACACACTTTTTTCTACAGTGTCTCACATACATACCGTAGATTGATTTAGTACAGGATTTTCCCATTCTTGCTTTATTTTTTACTAGTTTGGAATTCACACATACTGATTTGTCACTCACCATTTAATATTCCCTGTGTTTATTTATTTCATCACACACATGCTGATCACTCTACACTATATATGGACCCCAGTAGATAAAGGGTCAACATCACACACACTCTCTGTTATATACTGACAACTCACATGATGCTAAGCCAGCCTGTTTTCTGTAATTGATGCCTGTTCTTATTGTTTAGGTTTGTGATTTGGCAACACACATGGCTTTCCCAGCTAGGGTTCCCAATTGAATAAGGAGTTAGGTAGTATTTGAGTTAGCTCTATTAGGCTACACAGGTCCACAGTTACCAATACACCAGTCTTTCTAACTGAGTCCCTATATGAGCAATCGTTTCTAGCCATTCCTGGCTCACTCTAGTATCCTACGATCAGTTAGGCAGTTGCTTAGACATTTATGAAAACACATATGCAACATATAATTTTATTTATCCTCCGTATTGATTTTAAATCTCTGCCGACATTTGGTTTTTAAACAGCTGTGCCTTCTCTAGGCAACACATGGTGATTTCACCACACGTCACTTTACGACAATTAACATAACGATCCACAATTTGCGGCTTCACTCATATGGCAGATTGGACACACAGGGAGCACTTGGTGATTGGGTAAGTTTAACAAGCGTTTATGTATATATTTGAGGTTTTTGTATATGACAGCATCTTGATAAAGACCGCTAGACGGTCGAAACGTCGATTTTTTTGTGCTATTTGAATACAGTAATTTGATTTACCAAATCCATGGAGTGCTCTCATTTTTTGCTTTGTTTATAGTATTTTGCACAGAGAAGCACCTGGTATGTATTATTATTTGGGAAGAGTGCCAGAAATTGTATAGTTTCTATATATATATATATATATATATATATATATATATATATATAATCAATGAAGGAGCACTCCAAGGGATTTTTCAAACTTGTTTATAATCCGGTGTTGAAAAAATCAGTCATCAACGTTTCGACCCAATAGGGTCTTTATCAAGATAACAACAACCTCAAATTAATGTGCATATATACAAAAATACAAATAAATCTAACTTACCCCACCTGAGAAGTGAAGCCCGCTCACCAAGTGCCGCCGAGTAGTGCGCATGCGTAGTGACGTCACCGGAACGGTGCGTCATGACGTGTGTGCGTACGTGCGTGATAACGTGATCATGTGATCCCATGGACCGCAAGCGTGTCCATGGAAACCTAAACCAATTAAAAACAAAACACAAAAAGAGGTAGAAATCTACAGATCGGACAAAGTCATCAAGATATAAATAAGCCACAATTAAGATAGGTAAAACTTATTAATACACTGAGTGTAGGTAGGAAGAGAATGTGAAAAAAAACAAATAAAAGCATAGAAAAATAATATGAGAAAAAGTGTATGTAAAAAAGGTGATTGAAAAACATGTGGAAACAAGTAAGAGCCTCTAAAAAAGGCAAAACTGTGGCATGTGAAGAAGTGTAAAAATATGATAAACACGGAAAATAAATAAAATATGAAAATAAAAATAAAAAATAAATATAAGAATAAAAATATTAATAATAAAAATAAAAATAAATAAAAATAAAGACATAGTACGTCCACGGTCATTAAGGGGATATACATAGATGTATATATAATTTCAATCTAAGTGTATTTTGATATAAATATATGTATATATATATATATATATATATTTATATCAAAATACACTTAGAATAAAATTACATATATATTTATAATTTAAAAAAAAAATATATTTTTTTATTTTTAATTATTTTTTTATTTTTTTTATATATATATATATATACACACACACAATATATATATATAGTTATTATATATATATATATATATATAAATATATATATATATATACACACACGTGTGTAATTTTACTCTAGGTATATTTTTATATTAATTTATGTATATATTAAAAAATACACTTAGTATGACGATATATATAAGATATATACAGTATATCTATACATATTTTATATAGATAAAATGTATGTATATATATATATATATATATATATATTTTTTTTTTTTTAAATGTGTTACCTTTTATTTATTTATTTTTTGAAAACTTTTTTCACCAGCAGGTGGACTGCCTGTCAGTTCAGGCAGTCCCTCTACTGGCAGCACTGTGGACACCTATTGTGGCCATGTGACCACAAGCCTGCCTGATGGCTTCCGATGCTCTGCTTCACTGCCAGGCTCCACATGGAGGAACCAGATAGTGATCGCTCCGGGGGGAGCAATCGCCCGGTGTTCTTCGGTGGCCACATGATCGCTTCCAGCGCTCTAATTCCCCGTGGACGTATCCGGTATGTCCGTGGTCTTTAAGGACCGTTTTTTGTTGGACGTACCTGATACGTCTCTGGTCACTAAGAGGTTAAATATACCCTCTGTCTGGTTCCAGGATCATTCTAAATGGCAACCTGACCACTGCTTGTACCACTGCCTGTACTACAAAAAATATCTAGAGACACACTGCTATGGGCATATGCAAATATTACAAGTTTTTAGAATGCCTTGTTGTATTTCTGAAACTGTGTACTTTGTCTTTAAAAGATTCAGCAAACTGACAATTTGTTGGAAATTGAAAATGTTGTTTTTCATACAATGTTTCTTTAATAAATGACCTCTTATTGTGTTTAGACTTTAGGACGCCATCTTGTCCTAGGTTAGTGGAATTCCCCAAGTCAGGGAATTTCCTGCGCAATGTGTACCCTTAAGATTTTATCTAAACATAGATAATATGTTCCGCAGTTATGGACTTGTATTTTTGCCATTGAAAATCTAAGGTATACAAATGTGTACTTATTAATACTAGAACACAGAGGTGAGATTTTGGAGACAGAGACACTGCTCCATTTTATCATGTCTTAGAGGTTGACGTGTTCAAGAGGGTATGTTATTCTATTTTACTGAAACTGCAAGCACATATTGCAAGCATATAGTGTACTTTAATCTTATTGTAATGGATTATGAAGTTTATATATGTAGATTTATATTTTTGTTTAATAAAATATTTAAAAAGACAAAAAACTTTATTGCTACCAAGACAATCCCTATTTTATATTGTATTCTCAATTATTTATATATTTTAAATAGAGGAACTCTTACTAACTACAACACGGTAGTACACACCTAGACTCAGCTGCTAGCTAACATACTTAACCCCTTAAGGACGGCGGGCGTTCTATGCCGTCCTTAAGGAGCCGAGCCTATACACCAGGGGGCAGCATAGAACATTCCCCGCCGTCCACCCCACTTGCCTGATCCCCGCCGGTGATCGGTGTTCCTCCTGGTGTGGGGGGACTGCCTGACAGTCCCCCCTCGGCAAATTAGAACCCTGCGGGCCATGTGATCGCTCTGAAAGAGCGGTCACATGGCCGCAATAGGCGTTCATAGTGCTGCCTGCAGGCGGACTGCCTAAACTGACAGGCAATCTCCCTGCTTCTGTAAAATGTCAAAAAAATTTTTAGTAAATAAGAAAAAAATATATATATATTTAATTATATATATATATATATATATATATATATATACACACACACACACACATATATTATATCTATACCTCCCTATACCTATACCTAATTAGACAGGAACTAATTTAAAATAATGGTATAAATACCCCCTCCCACCAACTCCTCCCTCAGTCTTGTTAACAGCAATATCCCAGGGCAGGATCTTTGTGCTGCCATGGCCTATGACCAGGAAAAGAAAATTACGGTAAGTATGGATACATTTTCCTCTTTCCTGGCCATATCCATGGCAGCACAACAATGGGTAATACCCAAGCAATTACTAAGGGAGAAAATAAGAGGGATGGAACAGCGCTATCCAAACTGATCAACGGGGAGGGGGAGGCTGCACACCTGAAAGGAAGGGTAACCCTCAAAACTCTTCAAAAGATTGGAAAAACAGGAAACAACAATTACAGGGTGCGCCAAGAAGAAAGTACATAAATAAAATGGAAAAAAAAATACCACGGAAACAGGCAAATTAAAGTCTCTAATTCACAGGTATTTTCTTCTTAAATTCTCAGGACGTCTTGGGTCAAGTTCTCATCAGCCTATATGAAAGAGAAAAAAACAAACATACAGAGGGGACCAATGGTGCAGTAACATATAGGAGTATGGCTACAGACAACACTGAGATTAAAAAATGCCAACTCACATTTGTGGGAGCTATAACCAGCTCGAGTAAAACAGCATACAGTGGTATTTAAACTCCCCACATGTAGGATATTCCTCTCACAAGATTTTCAGTGCAGGTTATATGAAACCTGGCTGGCTTTTACGTCAATCTGGTAATGTCTTATGAAAGTGTTTGTGGAGGACCAAGTGGCCGCTTTGCAAATAAGTTCTGGTGAAACTTTAGCTGCTGCTGCCCAAGAAGAGGAAAGGGACCTTGTAGAATGAGCCTTGAGTCCTTCTGGGATTTTCAAATTTGATGCCTTGTAAGCTTGTATGATGGCTGCTACTATCCACCTGCTGATGGCTACTTTAGAAGCTTGAAACCTTCTTCTGGGACCGTTAGGAATGATGAACAGTCTTTGAGAGGTACGCAAGCAGATGATCTTTGTAAATAAATAGACAGACATCTTACCAGATCTAAGGAAGAAGGCTTGGGTTCTGATTCACTTTCAGGTTCTTCTGACTGAAGAGCTGGGAGTACTCTCTCCTCATTGATGTGAAATGCCGACACCACCTTAGGTCGAAATTCAGGAATAGTCCTCAGGATCACTCTGTCTTTGTGAAACACTGCAAAAGGCTCTTTGGCTGATAGGGTATGGAGCTCAGACACCCTTCTACCTGAGGCTTAGGCTACCAACAGAACCGTTTTTATGGTAAGAAAATGAGGAGAGACAGATTCTAGTGGTTCAAAGGGAGGACTGCTCAGAGCTTTTAATACCAGCGGTAGGTCCCATGGAGGTCCAATGGCTTGATAGGAGGATTTATCTTTAATACCACTGACATGAACCTGGTCACATCCTTGTCCAAAGCCCATCTGTGATCCGTTAGGGCTGAAAGAGCCGAAATATGCACTTTAAGGATGTTGTAGCTTAACCCTTTGTCAAGACGTGGTTGTAGGAAATCCAGAATATCTGTAGTAGAGATTAACTGAATCTTTATTTGCTTAGATGTTGCCCAAGAGAAAAAGACATCCCAGATTCTGTAGTATGTGGTGGACGTGGAGCGTTTCCTTGCTTGTAGCAGAAGCAGAGTGTCTATTACTGCCTGTGAGAATCATTTTCCATTTAACCTTTCCCTTTCAACTTCCATGCCATCAGATTGAGAGAGACTGGGTCTGGGTGGAGAACAGGGCCTTGATGTAGAAGCGAAGGAATCTTTGGAAGCTGCCAAGGGTCTGATATGCAAAGGCTCAATAGTAGGGGAAACCATGGTCTGCATGGCCAAAAGGGAGCTATGAGAATGATGGATACTTTCTCTTGTCTCAACCGTCTCAGAAGTGGAAAGATGAGTGGAGTAGAAGGGAATGCGTAACCTAGGTTGACTTGCCAATCGCTTGATGGAGCATCTCTTCCTATAGCCAGAGGATCGATGTTCTTCGAGAAGAAGTCTCTTACTTTTCTGTTCTTGTTTGTTGCCATTAGGTCTATTTGTGGCATGCCTCATATTCGTGTTATCTTCTCAAAAATTTTGTCTGACAGGCTCCATTCTCCTGGGTCTATTTCCACTCTGCTCAGGAAATCTGCTATGGAATTCTGGATTCCTGGAAGGTGTACAGCCGATATACCTGCTAGATGTTTTTGCGTGAAGGCCATCAGGGGTTTCATTATTGACATCATCTTTTGACTCCTGGTACCTCCTTGATGGTTTATGTAGGCAACTACAGTGGTGTTGTCTGTCCTGATTTTGACCCACTTGAAACGGATAAGAGGGAGAAAATATTTCAGAGCTCTGTGAACTGCCATCAGCTCTAATAGATTATATATTAATTTAAAAATACACTTAGAATTAAATTACACATGTATATAATAATATATATAAAATAACTATATATATTGTATATATATATATATATATTATAAAATATAAATAAGTATACGTTTAAAAAAATTAAATATACTGTATGTAATCTTATTCTAGCTGTATTGTTTTATAATATATCTATATATATATATATATATAACAAAATACACTTAGAATGAAATTATCTATCTATATATAAATAAAAATACAATATATATATATATATATATATATATATCCATATACATAATTACATAAATAATTTCATAAATATACACCTAGACTTCAAATATGTATATATATATATATATATATATATATATATTTAAGTTCTACATACATATTTATGTAATATGTTTACATAATTTATTAATTTTATTGATTGCAATTTGAGGAACCTGCCTGACAACCCAGGCCGAAAGTCCAGAGAATTTAGTTTGCTAGCACTATATTTAGCCCTGTTACTTTCCAAGACAGCCTAAAACCTGTACAGGGGGGATACTGTTTTAGTGAGGAGACTTTGCTAAACTCAAATATTCATGTTTCAAAACAGTAAAACATATCACAGCGATGATATTGTCAGTTGAAGTGACTTTTTTTGCATGTTTCACACACCAACGGCACTTTCACTGAGGATATCATTGTTGTGATATGTTTTACTGTTTTGAAACACTCATATTTGAGTTTAGCAAAGCCTTCCGGGTATAACAGTTCTCCCTATGTACTGGTTTTATAGTGTTTTTGAAAGTTACAGGGTCAAATATAAGGCTTGCCCACTTCATTTTTTTTTATTGAAATTTGCCAATTTGGTTATGTTGCCTTTGAGACTGTAGTAGGAATTACCCCCATGATGGCATACCATTTACAAAAGTAGACAACCCAAGGTATTGCAAATAGGGTATGTCCAGTTTTTTTAGTAGCCACTTAGTCACAAACACTAGCTAAATGGTATGCTATCATGGGGGTAATTCTAATTTCTGGGCTATGATACAGTGTCAAAGGCAACATTCCCAGTCTAGCAAATTTCAATGTGCATAAACTGAAAAATGAACCGTGCTATACTTGACCCTGTAACTTTCCAAAACACTATAAACACCTGTACTGTTGTACTTGTGAGACATCACTGAATACAAATATGTGCATTTTATTGTAGTAAAAACTAGCAGTATTATGGCAGTCACAGTTAAAATGCCACGCAGAACTACATTTTTAAAAACAAAATCTTAATTTCTCACACTTTTTTAGATTTTATTCATAATAAATTATGTTTTATATATGAATAGTTCATGTGAAATTGTAGATTATGCTAGCTTTAGTGTACCTATAATCTTAATTTTATTAATAACAGGAGGCTTCATATTTGCTTAAGTCTCTCTTTACTAGAACTCCACAGCAGCACATTAACACAGAGAAAGTCAACCAATCAGAAAAAAAGTTAGATACAATAAAGCTCCCCTCCCCACACATAACTTCCTCTTTCAAGCTGCGACAAAACAGAAAAGAAACAGAATAAAACCATGCAGTGCAACATAAGTCCTTGAAGGCAGTGAAGTCAACGATGCCATCCAGCAGAGAGGAAATTTCAAATGTGGTGCCACGGGCAGATTGTAAACTAAAACGAGAAAAAACATAGTCGAAAGGCCTGGTTAGATAATGAAATATACTCTGAAAAAACATGCAGTCACCCAGTGCAACAAACAGTATTACTGTAATGTACAGAGATCCCAACCGTTCTATGTAAGAAACGGTAACATGAAAAGCGACAGGTAGCAGAAACAAGCAGTTGCATACATACCTGATTACCCAAAACGTCTGAACAGAGGTCAAACAAGAGTAGGGATGAAAAAACTGTGAGGGAAATGTTCTCCTCCTGTCATTAATAAAATTAAGATTATAGGTAAACTAAAGCTAGCATAATCTACAATTTTATAACATGACAGGAGGCTTCATTTGCTGTTTTAACGCTCGGTCAACAAAGTAAACAATGCTTGTTCCCTTATTAATTATCCCACGAGGCCAATAGATTCGTCCTGAATGGATCCTTTGACAGCGAGATGTGACGGAAATGCGATCGACAGAGATGCCAGTCATTGATGTTCCTCCAATCCCGGGAAAAAGTCAATCCCCTGCAGGATTCACTGTATCTGGCAACATGTGACTGGGCTCCACCAAGGCAGTCGATGTAATGCAATGCCAATATGGTGTCCATTCTCAGGAGGATGCAACAGTCTGATAAATTATCGGTGTAACTTGAGATTGCAAAAGAAAAACCTGTGATCAGTTTTGGACCAAAGATGTGGAAGTCGGCTTCCAAGCATCCAAGGGCTAACAGGCGATGTGGTCAGCAGTTCCCCAATATCAAGACTTGTGTTTGGAATCACGACCAAGTCTGGGGCAGAAAAGAATAAGTCTTACCATTCCCCATTGACCTCTGAGGTGAGCGGTATCATCTGAAAATAGGTGTACTCCGCAGGCTAGCGTGTGGAGGGGAATATGGTTGCGCCATAGAATTCTCTGCCTAACCATGCAAATTGTGGAATATTTATGACTGTGGCCGACGATGCACTCCCGAGGGCGAGCCTATCCTGAACCCCGGAACTTCACCACCTGGGACAGGGTGCGGGTCGACTTTCCTTGGAAGACAGCGAAGCCCAGGTATAAAAACAAGGGGATCATAAAGTGAGGTTGAGATCAGTTCAGGGCATACTCGCAGCAGAGTAATAAGTAATCCGGCTATGAGGTAATGGAAACCTTTGTAAACGAAGATGAGCCTTCACTGGTCTTAGCAGTTGATGAATCACCAAGAGCCCGCACTTAAACTGGAGAATAGATAGGTTGACCTGGCCAGGCCAGTCTTTCCCCAGGAAACAGAGCAAACGTTGGTACATGGAACAGAGGACTACCGATTCCGCAGGTTAAAAACTGTGTGTAAACTCGCCTGACTTCTTATGAATAAGATGGCTGGATCCGTAGAAACCCCCGGAGTCAGATGGGAAGCTTACATGTTCTTTAGTCGATCAGGGTCTGGAGTTTAATGTCTACAAGCGTCTGGCGGTCCGCTGTCCAGACCTGGTTTGGTGGGAATGGTGTCCGTATAGTGATGGAATGGAAAAATTAAAAATGGCTGTAGTAATGACCCCACTCGTTCAGCCTTGCAAGAAAAAACGAGATGGGGTCTGATGAAACGCTTGTCACACTGAAGAGTGGGCTCTATTGAGTGAGGTGTGTAAGTACATGTGTTCGTGAATTCTTTAATAATGTTTCTCCAAAGCCTAGGTCCTAGGCCAAGGGATCCCGTTCTTAATTCAGGGTCCTCAATCTCGGCATCTATATGAAGGAACGTCACCCATCTTAGTACAGTGCATATTGATACCTAGCATTGTCTAGTAGGCCTATAGGAGGGAAAACTCAGTCTTAATAAAGACGGTTCCAGAGGGCAGCTTTGCGTAAGGGCTTCATCCGCTAGAAGCGTAAAATTCAACAGGGTTTCGAGAACGTCGAATAACTTGATTTGAGCCAGTGTCAGGCTGCAATCAATACCCCTGCAAGGGCCAGGTCCCGATCTT